ATAGCTATAAGAGTAATTTATTAACTAATCCTCAACTCTTGATTAAAATACAGTTCATATTATCTGTTGTTCTGTTAGATGGTAGACCTGTGTTTGGCAACATCAGAACAATGTGTCCAGGTCACTCTGAGTGTTTTTGTAATATCAGAGTTGTATCAGAGGCCTGAGTGATGGATATCACTCTGGACTTGGGCTGAGTGGCCCCAGCAAAGATAGGCTTTGTTTAATCCAGCCTATTCATTCTGGGAAAACTGATCATATAAGGCAGACGGTTTCAGAGCTCTGCCAGGTGGTACTGGTGACATCCGACCAATCAGCGAGCGAGGGAGGCGGGTGTTGTCGTTAGTTGTGGGTGACGTCAAGAGTTTGCGTCGAACGGGCAGGTTGTAGTTTGGCAATGGTGAAAAATTAGATAGTAAAGTAATCCGGTCTCGTTCTATCATGAAATTGAAGCCGGAGCAAGAGGAATATTTAGCAAATGTAATTGCTGGCAATAATTGTGGCACTACTCCCCACGCGCTCCGTTACATACGTGACGGTAGACTCCAATCGTTTCAATCTGCAAATGGACTTAACCCCTCCCACCTGTTAACGGAGCTCAATGGAGCACCTCCAGATGTTTGTACGAAATGTAATTTGTACTATGGTGTGGTACAGCAGGCTAATAGAGCATAGACTTCCGGCAAGAAGCGCAGTTTCATTCATTTAAAAAATCTTGGGTCCAGATGGTGATCCGGATCATCTGCAACATTTATTAATTTGTTCTGTGACATATTTCTGAGGTCTCTTGAAACAAAACACTCTTTACTACACCACATGACCCACAATGTGGACAGTGGTCATGCACCTGCATTTCTATAATTGGACAACAATCTTGATATCATATTTGTAGCTATAATAAGTACAATCTCTCAATGCTTTTGCTGTATTGTTAGATGAAAATGTCTGTTTGAGAAAGTGTCTCTGCTTTGCTAACAGCTGCTGTCAAGACCAATATAAATGTAATGACAACAATGTTATGTTGTCTTTCATGATCCAACCATAACCAAGCTCTATTGTCACATCTTCCCATGTATTTATATGAATTTTGTTTACGACTTCCAACCCTGTATAAATTTAGCATTCGAAACAAAATCTATTTATACAATCACCGGCACTATATTGTCCACTGGAGATATTTAGAAAATGCTTTGTTTCACATTTATAGCATACCGGCAAAGATGTTTATGAGGTGTATTTCAAAGCAGTAGCTCTACTTTATCCAACCAACAATAAAATACATTCATTTCATTGTATTTGCTGTGAAACATTAATTCCTCTGTGTGCCCTCAATCGGCTTTGTGCTATTCTCTTTTGGCATAAGTTACTTTCTTGTTGTTTAAGTATTTACATTTACGATGTGCGTAGAAGAAATCATCTTTCTGTTTTCAGCTTTGCCCCAGATCTTTCAAAATGCACAAGAATTAAACAGGACTCGTAATGTGGAATTGGTGTCAGAATTGTATGATGTTTTCCCCTTTATCTATAATTGAAGACGTAACAGTGAATGGAATGACTGTTGTCTTTCCAAGATGTGCCGTGTACTGTACATTATCTTGTTTGCCTCCAGCTTTTTGTTTTTGTTAGCATTTGAAGCGTGTTTAATTCATTGGCTTGCATTTATAAATTTAGAATGTCGGGAGGAAAGTTTTCTTCTGCGAGATGTATTTCACCAAAAGCAAGTCGCCATTGTGTTCCATTGTCTTTCCATTTGACAAACAGCTCTTTTCAGGTCGCAGAATTTAAGACTGACCTTTGTTTCCTGTGGGTTATATTTAAAAACATGAGAGCCAGGACTTGAGGCGCCACAGAAAATTCTGTTGTCAAGTAAATCCACTATTCTTGCTTTATACTGACTCCATTGGGGGGAATAGAGCAGGGAACATGTCCTTTTTCAACCATTTACCACAAAACAAAGCATATTTGACAAGCAGACCTAAAGCTGGGTCCACCTAACTGTTTTTCTTCATAAATACTGCATTTACTTTGCTTTTATATATCTAGGAAAGTCTTACAGAGATTTCAGAATCTCTTTTTCAGGGGAGAGCATGTTTTTAGTGGAAGGGGAAACCGGAGTATCCAGAGGAAACCCATGCAGACATGGGGAGAACATGCAAACTCAACTTGTCTGAAGGTGGAATCGAACTTGGGACCTTCTTCCTGAGAAGTGAGAGCGGTAACTACCTGACCAGTGTCCCCCAAAACAGTCAGACTACATGTTGGCAAACTATATTTTATTGTTGCGTGTGGTCCTGCATTTTTGACCTTTCTGTAATAAAAAAGGTGATGTAAATTTGTGACAGAAGCTAAAAAATGCATGCATGTGAAAACTGTAGGAGTAGAACCAAGCTGTTATGCGAGAGGTACATGGAGTTACTACATAGTTCCGATTCTTGTGTTTTTTAGTTACTCAAGCTTAAAGTATAATTATTTAGCATTTTATGATGAAAATTGTGTATTAATCTCCATTATCTCCAATTTCTGATATGACCAATTCCCAGCAAGTAAGTGTGTAAGTAATCTGTATTTAAATAGTCCATATTACAGACTAGGGGGTCTCCTAAAGTGCTTAACAATTGTATTCAGATATTGTCCCATTCTCTCCAAACATTGTGATGACAGAAGCGGGACGACAAACACACTGGCATCGAAGCAACCAACACCATCCATTCAGTCACTCATTACTTTCATACATATTGTACATGTCTTTAGTGGTAGGGGAAACCGGAGCATGCAGACATGGGGAGAACATGCAAACTCCACACAGAAAGGCCTGGGAGTGGAGTCGAACCCAGGACCTTCGTATTGTGAAGCACAAACTCTAATCATAAACCTTTTTTATTTTTTTGGACGACTGTAAGATGAGGTGAAATGTGGCTGAACATGAAAGATTTCTGAAGATAATATTTGAAGAGCACCGTCGTGCAAGCCGATGCCAGACTAAATCTGATCTTACATTTGGCTCTGGGTTCAAACACAAAGGGACTTGACATTTAGAGGAAACTCTACTTGATGAAATGTTACAGAATTCATCCATACACTGGTTCTTCTGCCTGCCTGGACTGATTAGAGCAGACAAAGGAAGCAAATTGTCAAAATGTTTTAAAGCATTCACTGTGTAGATGGTAAGGTAAAGCAAGGTTATTTGTACTGCACAATTCATGTACAGTACAAGACAACTGAAAGTGCGGAACAGACAACGCATTAAAATAATAAATAATCAGAGTATATTAAAAATAGTAACGATAAAACCCCTCAGTCGTATGCACACCGAACAGAACTGTTTTTAACCTGGATTTGATCATTATCAGAGAAGAAGCCTGTCTCATATCTTCAAGAAGACTGTTCCAGATTTTCGCTGCATGAATCTGAAACGCGACTCTTATAATAAAATGTACATATGTTATTAAAATATTGCTCAATTGTACATTTACCAGCAGTACTTCATAGACATATCTCAGAATCAGAATCAGAATCATTTTTATTGCCACGTAAGTAACAGGAGGTCACAGACTTGGAAATTGCTTTGGCTCAGTGCAACAGTCAGAAAGAGATAATAAAAATAAGAATAAAAAACACTTCTAAAGAATAAATTTTAATTTAAAATAGTTACAGTTACTATTTACAATATACAAGTGCACATGGTGCACATGGTGCACACAATGTAAGGTGACAGCAGTACAGTGAAGTAAAGTGACGTATGATGGGCAGTAAAGTGACTTTATAAAGGGCGGGGGGACAGGTTAAGAATTGTTCAAGAGTCCAACAGCAGAGGGGAAGAAACTGTTCTTATGGCGGGAGGTTCTAGTCCTGATGGACCGCAGCCTCCTGCCTGAGGGGAGTGGTTGGAATAGTCTATGTGCAGGGTGAGAGGGGTCGGCTGTGATACGACCAGCCCGGCCTCGAGCTCGGGCGACGTACAGGTCCTGCAGCGATGGAAGGCTGCGGCCGATCACTTCCTCTGCAGAGCGCACAATGCGCTGTAGTCTCAAGCCTTTACTTAATAATAATAATTCACAACTTGTAAAACATTCCACATAAAAAATCTCAACAAAATGAGTATATTTAGAACAAGGACTGTGAGCCACAAATCAACATTCTATCCAACAAAGGCTCGGCATATGACACTTTGCATAATTATGTAATCAATCCATCAATATTTGTAGAGCAAAAAGCAAAAAGCAACAAAAAGCTTCTCACAGTTCATGAAGAAACACTAAAATTACAAGGCATTTATAATCATAATCATTAAAATCACATTAATGGGAAATTATGGGTCTAACATTGGTTCAATTACAAGTTCAATTACACAAATAAATTCATGTTGAGAGATATTCTAATTTTTTTACTTTCACCTGTAATTTCCTGTTTCCAAACTGCAAAAAAGATTCATATTTTAATTTCTGTTTGCATATGTGTTAGCGCTGCACGGTTTTGGCAAAACATCTGATTGTGATATTTCTGACCAACATTGCGATTTTGATGTGATTTTCAATGTACTGTATGTTTAAAAAGTGTGTTGCATTTGGAAAAAAGTACGATTATATACGATTCTGTTGAATATATTTACTACACTAACACTTCAATTATTTTGTTTTAATCACAATTTTGGCAGTTTCAGCTTATGATGAAAAATATGAGATGTCTAATTTGTAATGGGAAAATAATTGTTAAAATCAATAATTGCTTCTGCCTGATGAAAACTAGACAATGGATACTGGCAAGCTCCATTGACAAATCTTGAAACGCAAATCAGGAGAAATTCATTTGGTTGCACTTGTCTTCAGTCTCATTTTTGTTTCCAAGGAAAGATAATTGCAGTTTTTTCTTATTTGCTAATTGTGACCATGAAAGTATGTGAGTGTGTGTGGGAGTGTGTGTGTTGTACTCCAGTGTTTCAAGCCAACCACACATTAATGTCCTTAACCATTAGGCGACTGTCTCTCTGTGGCAGGTCAGAGATGGCAGTTCAGAAGGTTCTCCAGGTGGATCTGAAAATGGAGAGCTTCCCGGAGCCTCTGGGCAGTCGGAGGTTGGCCTGGCAGGTGGAATACCCCTCAAGCCGCAGCAGCACTCAGGAGGTGGAGACTGCGATCGCACTGGCGCAGGAGGAGCTGGCGGGCATCGTGCCTTTAGCTATGGTGAGTGACTTGGCAACGCCGCCGCACTCAGGAATACGGCATCATGTAAAACACTAAACCGCTTCCAATTTACACCTTATGAATCAACATTTGCATATGTTTTTGCTCTGCTTTGCATTGGAAATCACTCTCTACTGTTAATCATGCCTAGTGGCGGACTGGAGTGGAGGACGAACGTGCAGTACGCAGTTCAAGTGTTTTGCACTTGAACTATATAAAGATGACAAAGATGTCATCTGTGACATTATTTGAAGAAAGGAAAAAGCTGCTGTGATGATAAATATGCTGTTAGTTGTAGCCTTCAGTGGTGTGTTTGAGCTGTGGTGTTCTAGATGCAGTACAGAGGTAGTTCTATAAGCCTGGGGGTGAGCCAGGGGCTGTGTGCCTCCCTCAACACTGCACTGTTGTGATTTCATTCATATTCAAACTGTTCACTCTCAACACATTTCTTAGAATTAACAATAATAATGAAATGTTGTTTTCCTGCCGCTGTTATTTTTATCCGTTGTGATTTGATGAGGTCTGGAGTTTTTCACGATAATTAATTCTGCGTTACCACTTTCTGAAACTCTCTGACATAGGACCTTCTGCTGGAAGCCACTGTGGTATAAAACAGAATTATTATTAGAAAGTACAAATCAGGTCAGAAGTGAAAAGTGCGCGCTACTTGACTCATTTTCATTCTGTAGCAGTATATTATTTTTCTAACATAAAAACACATCTGCAAATGTACTTGTTTACACTGGTGACTGAGTTGTTGTATTCTCTCCGGGCTCATCTGCGCATCTCCTTCTGTGGCACAGTGAATGTCGCTTCTCATTTAGATCAAGAATATCCGGGTAAAATCCGAGGAAGAAATGTCGTCTAAAGACAGTGGCACTCTGCCACATCAGTGCTGATTACAAGATCATTCCTATTTCGGTCGCCTGTGGTTTGTGAAGCTCGTCTGTTGTGTCAATGTTATTCTGTCATATGCCTGAAGAAGCGGAGATGTGAGGTGCCCGTGGGTGGCTGCTCCTGCCTCCCACCTCCTCATCCATTCTGCCACTAATTGAAGACGTGTGTTAAAAGCTGTTGTATATTGTTCCACTTCCTCCTTTGATCCTTTTCATGCCACACAAACTAGCCTTACTCTTGGAAACTATTGTCTTTGCACCATGAATTATTTGCTTTCCAAGTTATAATAATTTCCTTTCTTTGAATACGCTTGCCAAGAACATTTCTCTATCGCAGGAGAGAAATGTTCTGTTTTTTTTTTCTTTTAAATGAATTTGTACACCCGCTTCAACATATCATCAATCAGCTCTGAAAGTGTCTGCTTCCTCTCTCACACATAATTTGACTCATTTTGCACAGAAGAGGGATTTTTACGGCTTACCATAAATCATGCAACCTTTTTATGGCAGCAAAAATCCATCTCAATTAACCGGATATTACAATTATTTGCTAAACTCAACTAAATCAATTAGTGCTGGCAGAATTTAGACAGAAGAAAAACAGAAAGACAGAAAGTAGTGTTGTTCAGAGCTGGATGACATACTCTAGTGGAAAAGGCTTGATATTGTCTCACGGTTATTTGACTCTGGTGTGGAAAGAGTTTGTAGGACTTTAAAAGAGAACGGGTCAACAGACACAACCTTTTGATAGCGATATTTCAACTGGTTTCTAAGACTTTCATTTTGTGCATTCCTCTTTTACTGTATGTGAGGCCGCCAACTGCATTTGAAATCCTGATCCCACCTGGCCACAAAAGCTAAGAAGTGTAGTGTCTGGTTGGTACCGTGATGGGAGACCCAAGGTGCCACAGTGGGGCGGCTGTGGCCGTAAAGTGCCAAACTGTCATTGTGTCCTAAGGCAAGACACTTCAGCCACTTTGCTTAGTATGAGTCTGGTGTGTCTGACTGATTGGTGGTGGGCGATGGCACAGATTAGTTGTCTTGCTTCCATCATTGTGCCCAAGGGCAGCTGTGGCTGGAGTAAATCAATAATGCAATATTAATAGTATGTATTATTACTATTCAAAGGTTTAGCAAAAGGTTCCCTTGTCTGGATGTTAAACAGGTACAATCCTATCTGCCTCAGTCTTATCTGTGATGATTTTCTATTTTGTTTACCTTAGAAACATGAGGCTCAGTCTTTCTCTGTTGGATTGGACCTGATATAAAAGACGCAACACAAGAGCTTCGGGTAAAATCCAAGAAGACAATATTGCGGATGCAAGTGATTGAAATGAGGTTCCTTCGAGGAGTGCTTGGACGCTCCCTCAAAGGTCGGGTGAGGAGCTCGGAGCAGAGCCACTGCTTCTCCACATGGAGAGGAGCCACTAGTGGCTTGGGCAACTGTTTCTGATGCCTCCTGGACGCCTCCCCGTGAAGATGTTCTGGGCATGTTCCACCGGGAGGAAACCCCGATTGAGACAGGACTGTGTGTGTCTCTCAGCTGGCATGGGACCCCTCCAGAGGAACTGGAGGAGGTGTGTATCCATAGAGAAGTCTCCATGCACACCTGTGACCCACCAGCGGAGAAAGCGGAGGAAAATGAATGGATGGATTTATGTTCCTATAAGATTTAAGTGCATTATAGGACACTGACAGATGACTGAGCCAATCAGAGAAGGCTTTATGTTTTGAAAATCCCCATGATCTGAATTTCTGCCATATCATATTTTCACAGAACAAGATAGAAAACATTTTTGTGCAACAAATGTTAATTTCATGAGGCAGAAATGATGATCTGTTTGTTGTGATGATCTACAATGGCAAAGCATAAATAGCCAGGTGCAAAGTTTTAAGTGATTATTGAAAATATTTGTTCATAGAATGACAAGAATGTCTCATATCCCTAAACGCTGAGCTCAAATGTACACAGCTGTTTTAGACGTTGAAGTTAATTCAGATTTAATGGTTTATTAATTATTTATTTTCAAACAGACAAAATGTCATATATGAGCTGTTTATTTAATTAAATTACTTTATATTGATTTTCAGATGTTGAATGTTCAAAATATTATTTCGAGCCACATTCCTTACAGGCTAGATTATAACTCAATGGCAGACCTGTCTTTTATGGCCTGCTTTCACGCTAAATCAATATTCACATTGCTTGTCCTCATTCATTCTCATGTTTACGTCTACAGAATCTATGCATGCATTTTTCAGACTTCACTTCTTTTTTAATACAACCACTTCTTTGCTGTTTTACTTTACACACATATAGTCACTTTTGGAACAATCTGCATGCCCCAATATGAGAGAGGCACACAGGCGAGAAAGAGGCAGGCAGAATTAGATTACCCGGGATCACTGTGGCATGAAAAGGCCCACAGATAAGTTCCTCCCCCTCAGTGCTGCATGCTGCGCGCTGATGGAAAAAACTAAGGTAATGTAAAAATACTGTTGTCACACACAGCACACAAGCTAATCCCCTGCACCACCTCCAATGTCAACACTTTTGCTGCAAACAAACTGTGATTCCAGAAAAACACTTTCACGAGTGGAGTCACAGTGGAGAGTTGGAAGTAAGTTAAAACGAGATAGAGGAAAGGAAAAGACGTGTCGAAAAAAGCAATTTAACCCAAGAGAGGCATACTTCCCAGTTTCTATTTGCTTTGCAACTATTTAAAAATACATTTATTGTGGATCAATCACCAGTTCAATTTGCTTGTATGTCAATCCCCAAATCGTTGCCAACTTGAGAAGACGGAAAACAATTCAATGGTTGAACTATTGATGTCATTGCACCAAAAACTATTTAAACACTATTCCTTTACCGCCTTTTCATTTTGACCAAATTTGACTTCCAAAATTGATTCACTGTAGGCTATATTTTATTGTTGCATTGTCTCTTGTAGCAGAAAGTTTAACACTGTGTGGCAAATAATTAGGATATTAACAATGACCTTTTTAATCTGAGCTTTTGTGTGAACTCTTTTCCAAATATTCTGCTTTGTGTAGGTGCCAGATTTTTGAATTGAGTGGTTTTCTCTGGGCAAATGCAGACTGGAGCAGATTGGGCAGGAGGTATCGCTGAGCTGGAGGATAGAGGGGGAACATTGGGGAAATTCTCCAATCTTCTTTAATCACATTGTGAGGGCAGATCTGGGCGCACTCGCTGAAGGCATCTGTTGACACAACAGCTCAGTGCTTTTGCTCCAGACAATCCTTTCATCTGTAATTAGCTCTAATTAGTGTAATTCGTTCAACGCCATTTCCCCTTAATGAAAAAGCCAGCGTTGGGATGTTTTGACCAGAAACAATCTTGTAAACAGAGAAAGAATCCAGCATTGACCATTGACCAAGTCTCCAGCGCTTATGTAATATCACTAATGACTATTAGAAGGGATTCTTATTTGCTTTGATTAAGTTCGATTACTGTGATAGCTCTTTGCTTCTGTCCAATTGCAGCATCCTCTGTGGTACTTCCTGGTCTTTTTGGAACTGATTCTGACAGAAATCCTGTGTTCCAGCGTTTGCCTAGTGTGGTAGTGACACTGCTGGAGCGCTCAGGGCTGTGCTTTGAAAAGGGCTCCTCCTGCGTGTTGTCACAAACACACCTGGCTTTTCCAGACTCTCTGCTGCGATTCTCACTTTGTCATCAATTACACTGGAAAGCCACACTTTTCCAAATACTGCAATTATTTCCAAAGTATGACCTGAAACACTTGGAAGGAGAAATATGAGGCTTATTTGTATCTGATCCCTACACATCCATCAGGTGTCTCTGAGTATTTGTAAGGTGCTTTACACATTAAAGCTGCACTAACTGATTTGGAGGCATTTTCGAACACGAGCAATGGGCTTGCTCTCTGCTCGCCCTCCCCGCACCCACGGAGCGGAGAGGGCGTTGATAGCTTTGGAGTTAGCGTCTCACAATATGGAACAATATGGCACTTTTGCACGTGGATGGCGTGACCATAGAATGACAGAACCGGGAAGCGCGGAGAGGACAAACTTTTGGATGCATGTTTTGCTGTGTAAGCAGTAACGAATACACAGGAAGTT